CTTATCTTACACACACTCTAAAACAAGAAGAGGGGCACAATCAGGAGTACAACCGTATTGCTTACCTTCTGACCGGAAAACCAATAACAATTTTTCTTTGATCTATATATTCGATTTTTAGAAAGAATCTTCAGTGTATGTTGAGATCTTACTCCTGCTATATCTTTATCTTTGTCTGAGATTTCGTTGTTGTTGCGTTTGTTGTTGTTGTTGTTGTTGTTGTTGTTGTTGTTGTTGTTGTTGGTGGTGGTGGGTTTTTTTGTTGTTGTTTTGTTGTTGTTTCTTTTTTGTATTGTTTCCCAAGTCGTGAAAAATGTCATGTGTTTCTAGAAATTGTAACTTGTCATAAACTTCCATGTGGGCCCAGTAGCTACAGTCAACGTTTGCTCATGTACTCACTTTATAATTGAAATACCCAGCTTGGTCTCTCTGCCTTATCTGTCTTTTTCGGCCTCCCTCTTTTTACCTCTGCAGATCTTCGGGTCGTGCTCCTATTTACGTGGTAAATATATGTTAAACTGAACACTGAACACCTTTATGTAAGGTCGTGGGTGCGAATCCCGTCTGCGGCCTGACGTTGTGTCCTTGGGAAAAACATTTTGCACGAATTGTCCTCACTTCACCAAGGTGGGAATGGGTACTATAGAGAGTGATGCATCTTGTCAGTCTGTTAGTGTTTGAAGCTGAGAATGTTTCTGATTGATCTATGGTCTGCAGGGGGAAAAAATAATAAGATATTATGTAAAGTTCACAGAGCTTGCTGTCGAGCGGCAATATACGCTCTACTAAAGCAATTTATTATTATTATTATTATTATTATTATTATTATTATTATTATTATTATCATTATCATTATTATTATCATTATTATTATTACAAACAACTGGTCAATCCGTTCTCAGCGGCCCCCAACATCACAAGCTTGCGGGCAAGAAAGCGTTACAGTCTCCAGATTCGGTTCAGAGTCACTGGTTGGCCGGTACCATCACTGATGTGGTATCATGACGGACGAGTGTCTCCCAGTAGCCGACTCAACCAGGTACAATACTCTGTCCAACTGTCCTCCCCTTTCACTTTCAGCTTCTCCCCCTCTATCTCTCTTTTATACCTACTTACCTAGCTTCCTACCTATCTACCTACCTAACTACCTTCCTTCCTACCTACTTTCCTACCATACATCCATATATCCTTCCATCCGTCCATCCATCCATCCATCAATCCCCCCTTCCTTCCCTCCCTCCCCTCCCCCGTCTCTCTATCCCTACCTACCTATCTTCTTATCTGCCTACCTACCTACCTACCTAAACGTACGCACGCACGCACGAACACACACACACACACACACACAGAGAGAGAGAGGGAGAGAGAGAGAGAGAGAGAGAGAGAGAGAGAGAGAGAGAGAGAGAGAAACATACCATACATACATAAATACACACATACATACAAAGAGAGAGGAGAGAGAGACAAAAACAGAGAAACGGAGAGAGAAAAAGATAGATAGGTAGAAAGAGAGAGACAGAGACAGAGAGAGAGAGGGGGGGGGGGAGATACATGTGGGTATAGCTGGAAGATATTTCCTAAAATGAATATCCCTTCTTCTCCCCATCCCCCCCCCCTCTTTTTTTTCAATTCACCTCATCCCCTCCCATTTTCACGCTACGGTCATCCCGCCAAAAAGGACTATTACTCAAAGAACGACTCGGAGAAGGGGGAGATACATGGTGCTCGGGTCTTCGAGTCTGAATTCCCGGGAATGGCGGGTCAATACACTCTTGAGGCGAAAAACAGCATTGGCGGTGTCAACAAGACCATCTGGATTGCTCCTGGTGGTGAGAATTTTGGGTAACATTAACAAGGCAGATTTCCGGTTTGCTCATCCTTTTTCAAATCTGTTTTCTCTTTTTTTCCTAGATTCACTTTTATTTTGTTATTTTATGCTTACTTGTTTCTCGTGGTTTAATAGTGAATTATGTTTCAATCCAAAAGTGGCTGACATCTACTACAGTAGTAAAAGATGAAACAATACAAAGATAAGAACAGCAAAAAAATAGTCCTGAAATGTTGGTTTTGAAGGGGGGAGATGACACAAAATGAAATGACATAGTGCATCTTTTCAAATTGTATTCTTTAGTAGTAGTAGTAGTAGTAGTAGTAGTAGTAGTAGTAGTAGTAGTAGTAGTAGTAGTAGTAGTAGTAGTAGTAGTAGTAGTAGTAGCATTAGTAGTAGTAGTAGTAGTAGTAGTAGTAGTAGTAGTAGTAGTAGTAGTAGTAGTAGTAGTAGTAGTAGTAGTAGTAGTAGTAGTAGTAGTAGTAGTAGTAGTAGTAGTAGTAGTATGGTGAATGCAAAAAGAAACCACTGATATTTTGTTGCAAATAGGGCCTACATCTTTTATTGTAAATCGTAATACATACATAACAACATTTATACTAAGAGTAGTGTTTTAGATCAATGTAATATATAATGGGCTGCTGGGGAGGATGAGAGCAAAATGCCCGGGGG